ACACACACCCCCACTCTTCCAAGACCTAAATCTGCCTACTATACAAAACATTCACTCTTACTACTGTGCAACCTACATTTACAGAGAAATAAATTCTAATCTTAATCCCAACTTGAAGCACTTTTTTGATAGTTGCAACAGGACCCATAGACATAATACTATGCACAAAAAACTGTGACATACCTCGTGTCAGTCTTAATCTTTGTAAAAATTCAGTGTACATAAAAGAGACCAAAATCCGGAACTCTCAGCCAGAAATCTCCAGAGCCACTGTCTCAGCCAACACCTTCAAAATTACCATTAAAAAACACTTCTCCCTATCATATCCCAACATCAGCCAAATATGTGAAAACTGTATATCCATATTCTCATTGTCACAGACATATGGAAAACAATATAATCTTACTCTCAATATCTGTGATCCTCACAAATCATTAAACATTGAATATATCCACATTATTTAAAATGCTAGAATCCTCATTACCTGTAATTCTTAAAATAATTAAACGCAATAAAAGCCGTAGCATGTGCTACTAGGATATTCACTTCTCTTGTATTCATTGTAACTCCTAAATTTATATTTACAACCACCCAAGAGACTGTATACAAAAAGCTCAATTAGTCATTGCCTTATTAATCTTAAGTTAATCTTAATTTTACCCGAAATGCTCTGCATGTTAATTGGCTTTCTGCATGCACACCTAAATGTCATTCACCTCTATACAAACATTGTATCATGCTGAAATAAAAAATCTAATCTAATAACCTTTATTTTAGCTTTTTGTTTTCCTCACTTCCATAGCACCACTTCTGCCATTAATAATTAATTGCTTGTAATGTTTTATTTCTCTTGCTGTACACAAATTTTGGTGGGAATTTGCATTGGGAATCAGAATTCTTAATGTGGTTAATCACTATTTATCTTACACGTGTTACCATGAGAGTGTTTCAGAAACAAAATCTTTACAGAAAGCAGTGTATTATGGCAGAGAGGAGATTTGACTTCCTGCAAGAGTTAGTGGCTTCAGTGGCAGATATCAATGCTGATGGAGAAATGGAGACTGGTCCTCCAACCCCTAGCACACCCATAACTCCTGTTCTCTCGTTCTCCAGCCCAGGAGCTACACCTACATCACCCACTCAGCAGTTACCCTCCCACCCATATTCTCCATCTCCAGTGGATACAAGCAGTAAGTCGAGCATTGATTATTCTTATTAAGTTAACATGCGAGTGCGGTTAACGTAGTGCGGTTTGGCAGACAATGTTCACACATGTTGAAAATGGTACAAAATACTGACAAGTAGATGATTAAGACATATGTGCAACAGTTTATTGTTGAAATATTTTGCCTACACAGTAAGCTTCTTCAGTCAGATACAGAGGCAACAGTAGTAGTGAAATAATGATGATATAATCAGTCCATCAACCTTGAAGAAATAGTACAGTATTTAAGGTGGTCAGTCCCTCAGCCTGGAGAAGAGTTCAGCTCCATGGTCTGGAGCGATATAAAGCTGAAGCATGAGAATGGACTCTTAATTAAATTCTGTCCAGGGTTGGTGGACTGATTACATCATCTTCATTTCACTGCTACACTTGCTGCCTCTGTATTTGACTAAGGAAGTCGATTGAGTAGGTGGAACATTTTAACAGTAAAGATACCCAACTGCTGCATGTGTCTTAATCATCAACATTGTGCACTCCATGACCAGTTAGGTTCTTTTTTTTTTTTTTCACAAATTAGTTTACAGGCTAAGAACTGTTGCCATACCTCTGCTCATTTCAAGGCCCTGCCCTATCACAACAGTCAACTAACACCTAGGTACTTATTTAGTGCTAGGTGAACAGGGAGAGCAGGTATAAGGAAACATGCCCAGTGTTTCCACCCGTACCGGGGATTGAACCTCACACACTTAGTGTGTGAGCTGAGTGCCTTTTTCAGTTTGGCAACAGTTATGGTGAGTAACTTCTTGGATACAGTCTTTCGGAATGCAACTTTTCTAAATTATGGCAGAATTTTATTTTTTATTTTTCTAGGATACCTTGATTGTCCCAGGTAAGTCAAGCAAATCTGATGAGGAAAGATGTGGAGATAGTAGTACTAGAGGGCTTAGGACACATTTCTTTTACAACCCCATTTATAAAATATGCTAAATAACCTTTGTGACTTCACACAGCTCTGTCTAAATCCAACTTTTACTGGAAAATAATCTCCCTTTCTTCTACATATCCTAACCTGAGCCTCAATGTCCACATAAAAACTCTACTGAGTTTACTAACACACTACCTGTGCCATGCATTTGCAACATTTGTCTCATTGCTTCCCTATTTATGCTATCATGTGCCATTTTGAATCCATAAATACAACAAACAGTTCCTTATATAACTTTTATTCCTGTAACATGCTTCAGTGCATACACTTGGTCCATACCTAAATCTTTATTGTTCCTCAGTGCTGCTCTCTGTCTTACCCTTAACCATTTTAGCAATAATTCTACCATGCACTTTACCTGGTATACTTAGCAGGCTTAATTCCTTGTAATTATTATACTCTTTCGTATCCTCTCTTCCCCTTATACAAGTAAACTAAAGTTTGCTCTTTGCCTGTCCTTAGGAACAATTTTGTTGCAACTCTTACATTACTTTTTTAGGTTAGGTTAGGTAAGAGTGGTCAGAAAACAGGACAAGTGTGCCCTGAGGTGGGTCTTAGTCATATAATGACCTAAAGTTGGAGCTTTTGGTCATCAGATTGAGGCTTCTCCCAGGCTTACTGGTCCACCCCTTTAAAAATTAAGGTCATAAGTAGAACCATATTAATTTTTTCTGTTTTTATTTCTTTAAATTTACCACAATCTAATGTTTATTGCAGGTGAAAACATGTTGGAAGGTAAACCATCAAGAGGTAGAGGTAGAGGGAGAGGCAGAGGTAGAGGGAGAGGAATTGGTAGGGGTCAAGGATCCTCACCAAACACAAGTACTCCTGGACCCGGTGTAAAACGACCCAGGTTAGTATATAATGTACCACGTGCCTAGCACTATATTATTGTTGTCAAGAATAAAAACTCATAGTGAACAAGAAAAGGAACAATATCCTAGTTGGAACAATATGCAAATAACCGACAAATAGGAGAGATAAGGTTATGATGACATTTCGCTTTGACATTGACCATTTACAAGTCATGGTCAAGTAAATGGTCCAAGTCAGACTGAAATGTCATCATCAACTTCTGTCTCCTATGTGCAGGTTATTTGTGTATAAAAACTCGTAGAATTGTATTAGGTGTTGTCTAGTTTTTTATTATAATTTAAAAAGCATTTTATCCACACTTTGTCATCCACATCTCTCAATCCACTACATTCATACATATGACCTAGTTTTTAATATGGAGTACTGGTGTGGAACCAACATATAGTAACACACCAGTTAATCTTTAGGGCATGCAAAGGAGAGCATCAACATTGGTACCTGAACTGAGGTAAGTGATGCAAAGAGAAATAATGCAAGAACACAGTCTTGCTGGAGGAATGAAGAGGGGACATGATCATGATAAAAAAAATAGTACTGGTAGATGAGGCTAAGCACTTTACCAGGGATACAGTAAGAATTATAGAGCATGGTTGGAATTATACACCCTATGAGTCACAAAAAAAAAAAATGAGTCACAGTTATATTAAGAGGTGTTCCTTCAGATGAAGAGTGGCGAATAAGCGGAATGAGTTGAGCAGTGACACATTGGAAGTGAACTCTCTAAAATTGTATATAATAAAGAACAAAAAGGCACAATACCATGACTGGAACAATGCACCAGTAACCAGCACATAGGAGAAAGACTTCCAACAACATTTGCATCCAACTTGGACCATTAACTAGTTAATGGTAATGTCATCATAAGTTTCTTTCTCCTATATGTGGGTTATTTGTGTACTGTTTATAATAGATATGACAAAGTTCATTTATGTTAGTCGAAAGTCAAGAGGTGGGACTATAAAAGCTGGATATAGGGAATTACTCCACTACCACACTTAATCCAGCACCACACCCATTTTACTTCCACTCCACATTCACTACATCACACTAAAGAAGACATGATTGAATGGCAAATGAATTTCTGTGATATTGCAGGGGTCGTCCCAGAAAAATCATACCTATACCAGTGCCCACTGAAGAGCCTGACTCTGATGATGGACTCTCCCTCGATGTTGACACAGATGAGGATTCAGTGAGTACAGTAATAGTACTGCTGAAATGCTTTGAATTTTTATTAATTTATCATCAAATGTGTTAATGACCACTGCTGTAATTGTGACACATTTGTCTTATTTCCTGATACTACTTGCATTCTAACACTTGCATTGGGGATCAAAAAACTATTGATGCATGATCAAGGATAAAATTACAATTTCTTGAATTGTTTATGCATTTTTTTTTTTTTTTACATACCGGCTGTCTCCCACCGATTAGGGTGACCCTATTTTGAAGTTATTTTGCCAACCAGTGGCTTTATTAATTTGGTACAGAGGTTATTGGAAAGTGTTGAAACTTGGACAGTAGAAGACAAGGTAATCATTCCCGATGTGTACCAACACCACAGTCGGATTACCCTCTAACATTAACATCCCACCTCTCCATTGTGCTGGCACCTCCAGGACTCGAGTCCATCTAACAGGTTTCCATGCTCACACTCCAAGAGCACATCTTTTAGATAATACTTGTCCCCATTCATCCCTAATATACTCAGTGTGATCTGCCAAACTAAGAGCAAGTGTATACATGTACACACATTTATTGATAGTGATTGTTACCTGGCCTGAGAAGACTTCACCAGTCAGAAATGGCCATTAAGCTAGGGAATTCAAAGTATATTTTGTCATTATTCAAAATTATGACCTATGAATGTACCATATAAAAATTTTTAAACATCACAGAGTTTTGAAAAATAAGACAACGAGTTTGCCATGTAAACTTGGCCCATGTATAACTACCAGAATATTACAGCACATTGTGAATGTTGCTATGAACTGTTAATTATTTAAATGTTCAGCACAAGTTGCTGGCTTAAAAATATTGTGATTCTTAACCCCTTTCACTGTTGGTTCCGACACTGGCTTGCAAGCCAGTGCCGGTCCGGTAATACTACACCAAAATTCTAGCGCCTTCAAATCTGGTGGGAGAAAGCTGGTAGGCCTACATGTAAGAGAATGGGTCTGTGTGGTCAGTGTGCACAGTATAAAAAATATCCTGCAGCATGCAGTGCATAATGAGAAAAAAACTCCGATCGTGTTATTGGTTTAAAATGCCGACTTTGAGGTGTATTTTCGTATGATATTTATGGTTGTATTCTTGTTTTCTTGGTCTCGTGTGATATGGAAGATATATTATTACAAAGATAGAGATGATTTTGAGTAGTTTCACAATGAAAAGTACCTTGAAATTGAACTCAAAGTAGCGGAAATGTTTGATTTTTGCCGATGTTCAAGAGTAAACAAATGACATCACTGTCCAGTACGTGTCCAACTGGCCACTCTAATACACAGTCATGAATGGGTTGACATTCTTTATACAATTATTACAATAATGCAGTAGTCTGCATGACAGTAAATCTTCCATTTTTGTGTGAATAAAAATTCAAAATGGAAAGCATGAGTAATATAAGAGGGGCCTGGAGATGAGGAATGAACAGAGAAAATGTTACTTTAATGCCAGGAATGTCTGCATTGTTTATTATGGACCTTATTTTGAAATTGGCATCTTTTGAAATTTGTGAGAAATTGGCCAAATTGCCAATTTCTGACCACTTTATTGGGCAGTTGAAATCAGTAAATGGGCAATTTCTTGTACTCAGTTGATAGAACAAATGGAGTTCCAGTGAAATAGCTATGAGACTGATCGACTGGAACAATGGAATTGGCCGAAAATAGGGCTCAAAGTGGGCAAAAATCGCCAATCCGTTTATATTGCTGAGACTGCTAACTTCGCGAGAACGTAATTCCATAAGTTTTCTATCAAATTTCATACTTTTGGTGTCATTACCATCAGGAAAAGATTATTATTTCATAAGATTTTTTTTTTTTAATTATTTGACACAGCAATTTTGTGAGCAGGGGTCTTAACAGTGAAAGGGTTAAAATAGCATGTTTCCAAGATAAAGGCCATTTCACACATGCAAACACAGTTTATTAAATTCTGTATTCTATTTAAGTTTTTGAGTCAAAACTAATGAGTTCAATTGATAAATTGCAAGACTGTGATGGAATGAATGAGGGTGAGTGTGTTTTGTTTTTTAGTCACCCTACCATGGCAGGAGACAGCTGGTGTGTTAAAAAAAAAATGAAATGTTATAGATACTTATTGTAATTCAAAACTCTCTTGGAGACAGAAAGAAAACAACAGATTAAGAAGGCAATATATCTCAGCCTCTGTTAAAGAGGGTGTCAGTTAAAAATCAGAATATGCAAAATATACATTCTCAATCTGTTCTTTTGTTTTTGTCTCCATGGGGTTTTGAATTGTATTAAATGCATAACAGTTTTACTTTCATTTTTATTTTTAGCAAGAAACAGACACTGATGAAGAAGTCATAGCAGCAGCCGAACATTCTGGTAACTGCAGTAGAGATTATAGGAAGTCACCGTCACCTGCCCAGATACTATCAAAACCCCCTCCATCTCAGCCAACAAAACAAGGGTAAGTTAACTGCTGGTAAATGTTGTCGTAGAGGCGATAAAGGCTTTCCACTAGGATTTGTCATTCATCTCTCATGAATAAAACAAAATGGTACAATACTGTGACTGGACCAATATATAAATAACCTGGTCCAATTTGAACTGAAACGTCGGTCCAAGTCAGACCAAAATGTCAGTCCAAATCGGACCGAAATGTCATCGTAAGTTTAAGTTTCTTTTTCCTATGTGCGGGTTATTTGTGCATGAATAAAATGCATATATAACACTTTAGTATTATTGAAGATTGAGACATGCAATATATGGGAATCTTTATTAAGGAAATGTTTTGCCACACAGTGGCTTCATCAGTCTAATACAAAGTAGAAATGGGTAAGGAGAGGAGGAATTTGAGGTAATCAATCCCTCAGCCTGGAATCAATTACACAGCTGTGATGGAATGAACATGTTGATTCCAGGCTGAGGGACTGATTACCTCAAACTCCTCCTCTCCTTACCTATTTCTACTTTGCATTGGACTGATGAAGCCACTGTGTGGCAAAACATTTCCTCAATAAAGATTCCCATACATTGCATAAGTGTCTCAATCTTCAACTTGTCGGTTTTCAAACCATTTGTCACATTTGGTATCATTTCTAAGATGTTTTGCCTATGCACCAGGCTGTTTCATCTCCTTGTTGGTATTGTATACCACTGATATAATGATATTCATCTGATCACAAGCATATTTTTGCACAGCATACACAACTGGTCACAGAGATGGCTATTTATCTCCTCTGTATGTCCATCCAGCATCTTTCTTAACTTTCTTTTCCTCCTTGGGAAATTCCAATGATTCATATCTGTTTTTCTGTGCTTCCATATGCAAAAGCTCAATTACCTACTGTAGATTCATTCTCCCCCTTTCTTAACCATTTTCATTCTCATGCCACTGTAGTATACACCGATGTTTCTGAACCCCCAGAAAGTGTCAGGTTCGCAGCAGTTTTTCTGGGCAGAATTACAGCCTCTCCTCATTTAACGACAGAGTTCCATTCATAAGACCACGTCAATAAACAAATTTATCACTAAGTAATGAGCATACTATAATGGTAGTGGGTTGGTGTCAACTATCTTCAGTATTGTTTTTAATGTCACCTTTGCACCATTTATAACATTTCTTGTATATTTTTAAAATGTTTATACAGTAGTGTACTGTATATTGTAATAAACAGAATAGAGGAAATCAGCTCTAATATACATTATTTAGGTATGCATACCAGTCAGAGAGCCTGTTGTAAGTCCGAGTCATTGGTAAACGAGTACATCGTTAAGTGAGAAGAGACTGTACTCTATTTCTAAATTTTGTTTGTTTTCTTTCAGGTTTAGTGAGGGCTCACAAATTGCCGGGTTGCAAATCTCTCTGGGTACAGGGTTCAGCCGGGGCGGAACACCTGTTAAAGGTAGAGAGACTTCTCCTCATCCTGTATCATCCCCCACACCAGTCCTCCCTTCCAGTGTAGCCAGTTCTAGCCCCATCCCAGGGATTCAGATTACCATCCCTGGATTATCTACCTGTTCTAGACTGCCTTTGGGAGGAGTGCCATCTGCCACCCCAGTGCCGAGTGCCGTGGGCCGCACGCCTCTCACTTCAGAAGCACGACCTTTTTTTGGGGTTCCCGTTCCAGTGATAACCTCTGTTCATGCTCTGCAGAATCGATTGCCTGTCTCCAATTCACATACACTATCTGCTCAATCTCGAACGTCATCCAATAACCAGGTTGACGAAGACTATGATTCATAGGGATTTTTTTTTTTTCTTTTTTTTTTTTTTTTCTTTTTTTTTTTTTTGTCAAAATTTGAAATTTGTCTTCCTTCTGTCCGTTCTTTCCTTTTTAATTTTTTTCAATAAGTGTGAAACTAATATTTTCAGAACAAAACTAAAATACCTCTTAATTTTACTAGTTTGTGTATTGATCCTGATAAATTACTGCCAGACTATATCAGAATTGCATTAGATATGAGTAGGTTCACACTAACGAGAACGCGTACTTAGTAGATTTGTACGAGATGTTTCAGTATCTGTAGAAATTCTTTTTACCTTGTTACACTACAAATAATATTGTATTTGAATGGATTGATTCTTTACATGACTCTGAGGTAACGTTTGTACACATACTATACCTCCAAATAATTACTGATAACTTAGGAGGATGCTATATTTAACATTGCCTGAAATCTTTACATTGCTGTCTTAACAGTTGCATGTTAATTTAGTACTTTTTTCTTGTATATTTTGTATTATTAACTTTTATTTTTACGTTTGTACAGTAAGCACTTTTTCTACATGTTAAATTCTTCGTCTTAATTTTGTTTTTCCTTGTCTTTGAAAACAATTGCTCTTCTCCAGTACTCCTTTATTTCTGTTATAGTTTTCTTAGTCATCGTACAACCTGCCAAATCACCGACCACACCTCTCCATCTACAACTCACAACTAACCCCTGTATACAGGAAACTTTAGATGACACCTTCTAACACATTTCCTCTACAATTTTTTTTTTTTTTTTTTTTTTTTTTAACTGTTCCAGCCATGGTTTTTTGACTGCCATCTCAGTCTACAACAAGTACTTGCTACGAAATGCATTTCTATGCTTTTTGATATTTAAATCTTGTGTCCATTAATTTGCTAAGGGTACATGTCATGTTTATGGATTATTTAAAGAGACCTTGCAAAAAATACAGTGATTTAACTTCTCATTTAGGCTAAACACCAGAATATTAAGTAATGTGATATATTACTGCATTAAAAAATAAGGTAAAGAAATACTGATATGCTTTTGTGATGTGTTCATATTCCCAAAAAGTATTTTTTTTTTAATTTTTAATTATTATTATTAATCATTTTCATTGTCATAGTTATAAATCCTACTTAAGAGTAACCTTTAATATTTGAGAAAGGTGTGTGGATATTATTATTATTATTATAATTGAGGGGAAGTGCTAAACCTGTAGGATTATACAGTGCCTGTGGGGGGGATGTGGAAGGTATTCAGGGAACTGGAACACAGATCTAATTTCCTAGATCAAAAGCCCCTCACCAGCATCAAGGAGCCCTCCTTGAGGAGTGTAGGTGGATATGTAAGTTTTTATGGGAATTTGTTGTGTTTACCTTCTGCCATTGTTGACAATCCCCAAGCAAAATAAATGATAATGATAATTCTGTAAGATGCCAGTCTGTAACTGCCAGACAGACATAGCTTGCTTCAAGACTTGACCTACGTGTCATACCAGATGTAGCTAAGCCATGACTTGCAAGCCACATGTGGCTTATTTGCTCAGCCAATACAAATTGCCTCACACTATCCAGAACTAAGCAAACCTTGGATATTGTTTTACAAGCTGCCTTGATGGAGCAAATAAACCGCATGGTTCTCAAGCCATGTCTTTCCCACATTATCCACATATTCTACAACAGTGGTCCTCAACCTTCCTCTTCAAGTGGGCCACATATAATGGTCAAATGTGTGATGAGGGCCTCATGGTTTTGTTGACACAGTGTAGTGTGGCACCTACATACAAGTGAATTTGTAATTTCACATGAGGGCCACATCTGTTTCCTAGAAGGGCCACAGGTTGAGGACCCCTGCTCTACTGTATTCAAAATTCATACCTTTGAAAGGGTAGTGTCTTGATGCTGACAAGGAACTGAAGCTACTCTGCCAATCCATTTAATAAACTAGATTACCTCCCATTCCTCAGGTGCTGTATGATCCCTACTCTTGAATAGAACAGTAATAAAAGCTATTAATGTAAACTCTTACACTAATCGCTTATATTTGGGAGTATGCTGTCTTTTGCTCTTTTTTTTTTTTTTAATATTCTCTGCATCATGGCTGATTTTGAAAAAAATCTTTAATCTTTGAAAAAATATTCTGTTCAGTTTCTAGGAAGAAAATGTCATGGCTAAGTCTCTGAAAGTCAGATTATAAATTTTGCTTCAGTTATTTACATTTTTTTTTTTTATTTCAGGGTAAGTGATACTGGTGAGTGTAGTAATCATAAATGTATTTCTTAAATTGATTTAATTTTAGTTTAATTTCATGAGGTTAACTTATAAAATGATTTGTTTCTAGGTTCATTTATTTATGATGTACTCTTTACATCAACAAATTTCTTATATTCCTTTTCACATCAAGACTCAAAGAAGAACATTTATAGTAAAGCAGCAAAATGAGATTGAAAAAGAAAGTAGATGCTGACACAACACTGGTGTTTTAAAAACAAAGTAAGTATGCAAATTCTTATCATGGAAAGGGTTGGGTGTGAAGCTATGGCAAATGAGTCCTAAAACTCACAGGCCATTGTGTTAACCTCGCACAATGACCTTTGAATTTTAGGACTCGCTTGCCATGGGGTCGAGCCCAACCCATTTCATGATTTCTTTGCAACCATGTTATTATGATTTTGAGAGTCGTTCATATTCTTGAAAGTGAATCAAAAGTTGAGGTGGGCTCAAGAGCTGGAGCTTACTCTCTGGAAGTGCTAATATTAGTAGGTAATTACATTCATGCCACTTGCAAACTGGAAATCACTTGAGGAATACAATTTGCAGATTAATGTTGATGCATCTTGCAACATTTTTTTTTTACCCTACTTTTCCTTGATGGTTAAAGACTCTTCATTAAGGAAATTTAACCTCTCCTTTCCTTCCTTGGATAAAATCTAAATATTTCTCATTCCATAGGTTCTGTATGCTTCCTACAGGTTTAGCAATTCCCTTTAAAAGCACTACTAATGATAATTATTGGTGCACTTTCAAATTTCAGATATCTTACTCCTTACCTTTTAAAAAGTTTAAAAAAAATCTTAACCCTTTCACTACCTCTTAGATCTGTGTTAGTGATGCCAGTGTCACTTGTGTAGGTCTATGTTTTTAGCACAGTGCCCTCAGTCATGCTGTGAATGGTAAATTTTATCCTGGACATGAGAGAATGGGTCTGTGCAGTGAGTGTGCTCAATATACAAAAGAAATCCTGCCCCTATACATTAAGTGATGGGAAAAGCAAATCTCTTGACCTTTTATTTGGTTTAAAATGGTGCATTTGATGTGCTGTTTAGGATGGTTTTTATTATTTTATTGGCTGTCTCTCAATATCAGCTGATATAATGGAAGATGCACCACTGAAATAGAGATCATTTTTGTTGGTTTTAAGCCTAGAAATATCTTAAAATAGGACTCAAAGAAGCAGAAATATTTTATTTTTGATAATTTTTCTTGAGGATGGATAAGGCACCCCAACACATTTCTCTAGGTCTGTTTTATGAATTTTTACTTGGTCTCCACATTTATTGGGATGCCCTAAATCACGATCAATCATTAATCCGAGAAATAGCGTAAACCTTTGATTTTTTTGTGTTATAATGGATTCAAAATGGAGGCCTGAGGATGTGATTAATGAACAGAGGCTAGGTTACTTTAGTGGCATATAGTGTTTATTTTGGATTCTGTTTCAAATTGGAATTTACTGAATTTTGTGTAAAATGGACCAAATTACTGACTTCTGTGCACTTCATAGCATAGTTCTGATAGTTGAATGAGCAGTTTCTTGTGCTCAGTTTGTAAAATGGAAGGCATACTAGTGAAATACCTAAGAGTTTGGACTCTAAATAGGCAAAAATTTTAACCAGACTGCCAACTTTGTGGCTGTGTAATTCTGTAAGTTTTCCATCAAATTTCATATTTTTGGTATTGGTACCTTCAGAAAAAGATTCTTTCCCATTTCATTTGTTTTTTAAATCTCGGTTGTGTCAGCACTTTTAATTTTTGGATCCCAACAGTAATGGTTAATAATGATAGTATTTTGAAAGTGAGTGTCATATACAGTACTGAGTTGCTGATTATAATGGGCTGCTGGTTAGGGGCTCTTGTTCTAAACAGTTGTACTTCTGCTTCAATTCCTTGAATTAAGTCTGAATGCTTTCCTCTCCCCCAGGCTCTATATGACTCTTATGGGTTTAGCACTCCTCTATGAATATAATAAAAATAAATAATGATAGAAATAAGACATTGCATAATAGCAAATTTACATAAAATGACTTCACATAAAGCAGGGGAGACCTATACAATATTATATAGTATACAGTGGAGTGCCTAAGTTGTTTTTTCCCCTTGCTGTTTTTTTTTAAATTCTAATTCAATGGACACTCGAACATTCCCCTTATCAGTACTTTATAACAAAGGTTTACTATATCATCTTTGAACATAGGAGTGTTGTGGTTTGGTGGGTCAATATAAGATCACAGTGTGTTCCCTTCTGAAATGACTACTGTAGAGAGAGAGAGTGATGGCACAAGAAATCTAAAGCCAAGACAGCAGTGCCTAAGTGTGTGCAATAAGGCAAACATACTACTAAGATTTATTTCAAGAAGTATAAGTAACAGAAGTACAAAAGTTATTTTACAGCTCTATACATCACTAGTGAGGCTTCATATGGATTATGCCACTCAATTTTGGTCTCCTTACTAGAGGATGGATATAGACTCATTAGAGAACATACAGAGAAGAATGACTAAAATGATTTACTGTATAAGGAATCTCCTGTATGAAGATAGACTTAGAGCCTTGAATCTCCACTCACTGGATAGACGTAGAATGAGGGGGAGATATCATCAAAGTGTACAAGTGGATGATGGGCATAAACAGAGGTGATATTAATAAAGTACTGAGGGTGCCGAACCAGATAAGAACCAGAAATAAGGGATTTAAGTTGGATAAATCTAGATTTAGAAAGGACATAGGTAAGTACTGGTTTTTGAACAGAGTTGTGGATGCATGGAACAATCTTCCGAGTAGGGCGATCGAGGCTAGGACCTTGGGTAGCTTTAAAAAGAGATTGGACAAATATATGAGTGGGAGAGGCTGGGTTTGATTGGTGTCGTGGGTACGGGAGTAAATTCTTGGATAGCTTTGGGTCAGGGTGGTTTTGATAAGGACCTGCCTAGTATGAGCCGGTAGGCCTTCTGCAGTGTTCCTCCATTCTTACGTTCTTATGTTATCACCCTACCATGGTGGGGAAACTGTCAGTGAGATAAAATGTCCAATAAGCCCTAGTGTGTATGTGTGTGTGTATAATCGGTGAGAGGTTAGATAAATACACGAGTGAGAGGGGTTGGATTTGAGCGGGACTTGCACTTAAGTTAATAGGGTTACCAAAGCTTATTCCTTGGGTAACATTGACAATAGGCTAGGCAGATATTTTGTTAGTGGGTTTGGGTTTGAGAAGGACATGCCTAGTATGGGCCAGTAGGCCTGCTGCAGTGTTCCTCCTTTCTTATGTTCTTATGTGACATAAGAACATAAGAAAAGAGGAACACTGCAGTAGGGCTGTTGGCCCGTACTGGGCAGGTCCTTCACAAATCCAAATCACTAACCTCTTAACTTTTGTTCTATAAATCTGGAAAAAAACTTTTTAATTTTGTAGTCCCGTTTAGCTTTTCTTATTCCATTTTTAACATCCCTCTTAATGTCAATGTATTGATTCGTAAGATGACCCTCACCTCTTTTGATGTGCCTATAAATTCTTTTTTCTGATCTAAAAGATATTTGAGCCTATTACTCATCCATTTTGGGTCATTTCTATTCGATCTAATTTCTTGATATGGGATAAATGTTCTTTGGGCAGCATGTGTGGTGTTTAGAAAGCTGTCATGTTGATAGCTCTCTTCGTTACCCCAGTCAACAGATGATAAGTGTTCTCTAAACCCATTGTAATCTGCTATGTGAAAATCTGGGACCATTTCTGAGCTGTTCCTACTATCATACTTCCATTCAATGCTAAAAGTAATTGATTTGTGGTTGCTTGTGCCAAGTTCCTCTGTAAATTCTAAATTATTAACGGGTTTCCTCGTTTGCCAGAACCAAGTCAAGCAGTTAGGGTTTTATTCTAAAAAAAATAAATAACCTAAGAAATGCTTGACCACAACAGCAATGAGGAAATTGTGTGTTGTTAGTCCTAATGGTGTTGTTCCCAGTTTTCCTCTTTGTGTACAGTTTTAGTTCTGAATGGTTAAATAATGCAATTGTTGCATATTTCTCAATGCTTGGTTGCTATATCCAATCAGAAAACTTGCAATGTTTTAGATTTGCAATTAAACTTTTCTAGCTCTAACATGTACTTTGTTTTCATGTATGGGAAACTCTCTTAAAGTTGATGCTATATGTTTTACATCATTTTCAAAATAGGAAACTGTTTTAATAATTTACTTCCCAGTATTATACTGAGTCAGTGCTTTGTAGTTACTGTTGACATGTAACAAAACTGAGAATGTGATGTAAATGGTTGAGAAAACTGACAAGTTGAAGAATGAGACATTTGTGTAATATTTGGGAATCATTATTGAGGAAACGTTTCGCCATTCAGTGGCTGTTTCAGTCCAGTACAGAGAAGAACAGTGAAAGATGAGGAGTTTGAGGTAATCAGTCCCTCAGCCTAGAAACGATGTGTTCAGTCCATTAATCTTGAGAAGATTCTTTTTCTGTATCAGACTGAAGAAGTCACTGGCTGGCAAAACATTTCCTCAGTAAAGATTCCCAGTTGTTGCACAAGTGTCTCATTCTTCAAAACTATGAATCACATGATTGCTAGAGTTGCAGGAACTGATGATTTCTAAGTGTTGTTCATGGTCTTTCGAATGTCTGTATGCAATTAATCAAAAAATTTCCGAGTTGCCATTTCTGTATTATGGCTATGAACTCAATATATGCCCTACAGAAAAATTAAGTCTTCACACAAAAGTAATTTTTTCACGAACTATTAACTGTATCCGAGTATGTTGACATTTTGTAACATCTTTTTTTTTTTATATCTTTTTTTGGGTTGCCCAACGTCAGTGAGAGATGGCCAGTTTGTTGGAAAAAAAATGTTTTTGTTCTCTTATTAAGAACATTTGCAATAATCTTGTTTCCAAATGTGGTTTTGGTCAATGAGAATTTCAGTGAGATGAGGTACTTCAATTAAATTTAAGAATAGTTAAAGTAAAGATTAAAGTAGGATGGAGCAGTGGAAAGGATTGAGGGTATATAAAAAGAAATAGGTTAGAAAGAATAATTGGGCCAAGAATTTTGTTGTTTTTTCAGTGTTTTTTGTTTCATAGTGATGAGATGTTGATGTATGATTTACACTTTGAAAGCTGCTCATGTTGTTTGGAAGAATATTTATAGGGTTGATAAATGAGACACTTTTGCAACAATTGGGTATCTTTATTCTGGAAACATTTTGCCACACAGTAGCTTCTTCAGTCCAGTGCATAAAAGGGTAGAATAAGATGAGGAGTTTGAAGTAATCAGTCCCTCAGCCTTGAGTCGATGTGTTCAGTCCTTCGGTCTTTGACAAAAGTGCAGCATATTCACAGAGATGCGGCTTGTATACTGATGAGAGATGAGGTGGAGCAGTGGTAGGCGGAGTCACCGGCGAGCAAAGGTACTAGTGGAAGTAGGTCGTGTCTGTAGATTAGACAAGTTACAAAAGTGTCTCATTTATCAATGTGTTGGTTTTGTATACCATTTATTCACAAGAATGAAATACATGTACAATTATAGGGTTGTCTTGGCTTTGCTTTATGTCATGACTTCTCATGATAATTTTGGTTTCTTCTCAATTTCTGTGTGTTTTAATATTTCTTATAATTATTATTTAGGAAATTTGAGTCTTCACATTCATAAAGATGTTTTTCTGTCTGTTTTTACTATCTGTGCTTCTTGTTCCTTGTGGAATGAGATGGAAAAAGTTCACGCAACTCTATTATTTGTACATATTCTTACCTACAAGTAGTTATATGTATAGATATTCTTTCCTGCTCTTAATTTCTCTGCAATCTTGCACAGTTTGAGATAATTTTGTTTTAAACGCATAAGCCTAAAGAAGAAAACACATTCAGCATTACTCGTTCTTTAGCTGTTTCTCTGAGTATGGAGGCATCACAATGCAGATGACTCAGAACTGCAGTGTCCCCCACCCATCTTTTAGAGTGCTAGTATTGTATTTCTAACTTCCAGAACTTAAACCTTGATAGACATTTTAATGAGAGAAATTTTGTTATCAAAATCCATTTTCCCAAGGATTCCCTTTAATAGGAGATGCATTCCTATGGAAATAATCTAGTATGGTTTCTTATTAAATCCACCTTATTATAAAAGGAGGTTATTTGCAGAATATACAATGTCAGGAGTCAAAATCTTCCCCTGGACTCTTTCCTGTGAACTGTATAGAGACAAGCAATATGTTAGGTGTTCACTCTTCACATTATGGATATGTTTCATGTGCATGTATAGCCTTTGTACAAGGTATGAACATGGTCAAATGCAATACAGTATCATATCTAATCTAGTTTTGATCCAAGGATAGGAACCCACGATTGTTTTAACCTCTTGTGAATCGTCATGGGGTCCTGACTGTAGTGCAGTTTTATGTACAGTATATTGAATACCTGCAGTGTGTAGCCAAATTCTTTAATTATTTACTATAAAATAATGAGTGCCTTTAGTCACAAAAAACAAGCCCGGTGCAGTAGTAACAGTCAGCCACCTTGCCAGTGATGCCATCATACTGGCTGCAAGTTACACAACACACTGGCCATTTCTCACCAAGGAAGGGTGGCCTAAGAAAGAAAAACCACTTTCACCATCACTCACTCCATCACTGTCTTGCCAGATACTACGGTTCAAAACTGTAAATATCCCCACCCCTCCTTCAGAGTGCAGGCACTGTACTTCCCATCTCCAGGACTCATGTCTGGCTAACCGGTTTTCCTCAGTCCCTTCGTAAATGTTACTTTGCTAACTATATATACAAATTATAGATCCATGAACCCAGCTCATGAGTAACAAGCACAAGGAGAAACAAAATATAACTGGCTATTTGGATGAAGCAATTGGAATGAAAACGTTGGATGATGTTTGATTGCTGAAGCGCAAAAGATTGTAAAGATAGCATTTTGAAGACAAATTATATACTATAGTAAAAAATTTCAAAAGTATCACATAGGTAAAGGCAGACAATCATGAAGAAAGGTCATTGAACACACTGCCTCTAGTGTCATTTTGGGCAGATTCTGCCATTGGATCAAATTTTTTTTAACTCCAATTTCCCAGGTGCTGTATGGACCCTCTTGGTTTAATATTTTTTAATGATGATGATAATCTTAGAGCATACTTACAAAGAATGAAATGTCACAATACCATGACTGGAACAATGCACAAATAACCCGCACATAGGAGAAAGAAACTTATGACGACATTTAGGTCCAATTTGGATCATTAACTAGCCACATTAGTTGATGGACCAATTCAGACCAAAACATCATCACCTAAGTGTGGTTTATTTATATAACATGACTCATAGTTCTGAGAACAAGAGAGTGATTATGCATAACACATTTTCTAAATTAGGTTACGCTATACATTTCTCTGATAAAATTAAAATTTTTGGGCAGATAAAAAGAATTGAAACTACATATAAATCTAATAATGCTTTCACTTAGGTAAACTTAAAATCTGCAAGCAAGATTCTCTCCCATAATGATGTGAACATTGCCTTTTTGAGTTTTAATACCAATAAGTCGTGTATGAAAAGGTTTTCAGAAGATGCCTGGGTGAATGCTGGCATGTATAAGATTCCGTGCACCAGTTGTGATAAATATTACGTTGGGAAAACAAATGGTTTTAAGTGTAGAGCATGTCAACTGCACTGCTGGTACACCTGCACTGCTTCTCTTTATGTACCTGACTTGTATGGATATAATATAGACTTCATTCCTATATGTATTCTTCTTTACATTTAGTTTCGGGAGTCTAGACAGTGATAGAGTTAAAACTGACAGAAGTTACATACTTCATCAGCACTGGTGTTATCTGTACAGACAGGTAAGAAGGAAGGCTGACAAGAAAATCAAATTTTTGGCTGTCAAGATGTATAAAATACAGCCATGAATGTATTGCATTACCTCCATGTGAGTTTGTGCCATAGACCCATTTTTATTAAGCTAGTTTGTGAATACACAGTGTTGTATAAAAAAAGATGTATTTTCACTAGATAACTGTAGGTTTTTATACTTGATTTTTGCATTTTCCCCTAAATTTGTTCTGTTCGTAAATTTTGAAGTATTTATTTTACATATGATGTAAATGTTTTAGAGAACCGACACATTTTCAGAAAAACGAAATGTTTCACCAGCCAATGGCTTCTTCAGTCGGGTACGGAGATGAATGGTGGAAGATGAGGAGGAGTGTGAGGTAATCAGTTCCTCAACCTTGAGTTGATGTGTTCAGTCCATCAGTATCGCATACCTGACTGAGGAAGGCACTTGGAGAAATGTTTCCACAGTAAAGATTCCCAAATGTTGCATAAGTGTCTAATTCTAGCACCAGACGAGTCTGGCCCATGGCCGGGCCCCAGGAGTAGAAAGACTCAAAACTCATCAAAGGTAAAGGTTCTTCAATTTCTTTACACTTTATTTTACAGGCTAAAAGCTGTTATCCTACCTCAGCTTTCAGTATTTCATTGTCCATAAATCTTGAGTTTACAACCATTGCACAGGATGCCACTCACAGCAGTTGGCTGACACTCAGGTACCTATTTACTGCCAGGTGAACAGGGAAAACAGGTGTTAGGAATCACGCTCAGTGTTTCCACCCGCCCCTAGGGTAGAAAGTGAGGGTCTTTCGATTATATAGGTTTCTGTCACTTTTTGCAGTGCAAGTGTTCAGGCCCATGACAGCTGTACTAAGTTCAGTCAGTCCATCAACTGTTGATGCTGCATAATAAACAATTTCAATATGTTTAGTGATATTAAAGATTACTTTTGCATTGAAACCTATATTACATTTCATCCCTGACTAGATTTTATCATCCTCAATAAATTAACGAATTAGACACGTGTGCAACACTTAGGTATTGTTGTTGTGGAAACCTTTCAAAATCCAGTGGCTTCCTCAGTCCAGTACAGAGAAGAGTGGTTAAAGATCAGAAGGAGTTTGAGGTAATCAGGCCCTCAGCTTGGAGTTGATGTGATCAGATCAACATCAGGCTGAGGGACAGATTACCTCAAACTACTTCTGATCTTCAACTATTCTTCTCTATATTGGACTGAGGAACCCGTTAGATGGTGAAATGTTTCCACAATAAAGATACCTAAGTGTTGCAGAATTGTCTAATTCATCCTGTCAACTCTCTTTACCAGTTATCTATATCCTTGATAATAAACTTCAGTCATTTACAAAACTTAGTAATAATAGCTTCAAATGTCTTCTCACTATGCTTATACCTTCATTCCTACATATTTAGTTAACTCAGCTGATCGCAAACAATGTTTTTTTATATCAAACATACAGGATTACCAATAAAAATAGGATGTGGCATAATTCAAATTCAGATTTTTATTTCTCTTTATGCTGTACAAGGATAATGTAATTTACATGTTCAGGTGCTTCTCAGCTTACAATGGGGTTACATTTCAACGAACCCATCATAAGTCGAAAATGTAAGTCAAAAATAAATGATATGCTAAATAAATAACTACTGTCACAGAATAAGTAAATAAGCAGATAATCGCTGTAACTAAATACCAGTGTTGAAAAGTAAAAAAAAAATGTGTATGAGCTATGGACTTGCTGCCTTCGTGCTGGGTAATTTGAATCCTTTTTCCAATTCCTAAGTCTTCCTCTCCCTGAGGTCTTCCTTCCTTCTGAGGTCTTTCCATGTTCTCTTTATCTTCCCCAGGTCCTCTTTTTTCCTCGGTTCCTCCTGACCTCTTCCCTCGCCTCCCTATACCCTTTCATATATCACCCTGGCAGATAATCTTAAGATTCATCTCTAAAATAATTGCTTTTGCACCATTGTAAGTCGAGGAGCACTGTAATACAACATTGTTCAGCACAAAAGAGAGCCACTAGTAAGCTCTCTTAGTAATCTATTCTGTATAGTGTGATAGTTTGTAGATTCACTTGAAAATGTGCACTTAACCCTTTCAGGGTTGATGTCGTACTAGTATGGCTTGAAAGCCAGGGTTGGTGCCGTATTTGAACGCATAAATTCTAGCGCCTTCAAATCTAGCGAGAGAAAGCTGGTAGGCCTACATGTGAAAGAATGGGTCTTCATGGTCAGTGTGTGCAGTATAAAAAATATCCTGCAGCATACAGTGCATAATGAAAAAAAAAAAACTCTGACCGTGTTTTTGGACTTTGCAGTCTATTTTTGTATGGTATTTATGGTTGTATTCTTGTTTTCTTGGTCTCATGTGATAGAATGGAAGATATATTGGTTAGTTTCATGATAACAAGTACCTTGAAATTGAGTGCAAATTAGCGAAAATGTTCGGTTTTTGCCGATGTTCATCAGTAAACAAATCATGCTATGCATCTAATACACATCAACTGGTGAGTCTAATATTCTTGCACAAGTGTGCTGATATTATTTATATTGTTTTTACAATGGTGCAGTAGTATAGTAAATCTTCTATTTTTTGTGAGAATAAAAATTCAAAATGGAAAGCTAATGTAAGAAGGGCCTGGAGATGTGACTAATGAACAGATAAAATGTTATTTTAGTGGCAGGAATGTCTGTCTTGTTTATTCTGAACTTTATTTTGAAATTTATGTGAAATTGGCCAAATTGCCAATTTCTGACCACTTTATTAGGCAGTTGAAATAGGTAAATGGGCAATTTCTTGTATTCTATCGATAGAACAAATGGAGCTCTAGCGAAATAGCTATGATTTTAGTAGACTGGAACATTGGAATTGGCCGAAAATAGGGCTCAAAGTGGGCAAAATCACCAATGCGTAAATATCATCAACACCGCTAAATTCACGAGAGCATAATTCCCTAAGGTTTCCATCAAGTTTCATACTTTTGGTGTCATTATGATATGAAATAGATTCTCTATCAATTCATAAGAAAAAATAATTTTTTTTCCAAAAATTTTTCAACCCTGAAAGGGTTAAAATTGAATAGCATGTACAGTGCTATGAAGGAGTTTTTACATAGTATTTTCAGTTTTGAATGCAAATTTTTAATCACTTTAACAAAAAAATTGCACTGTATAGGTAAGCTTTACAAGAAAGCCTACTGTAATTCGCTATGATGTTAGGTCTCATTGCTACTGGAGCTTTATAAGAAAGCTTACTTTAGCATAAAGTGGACCAGCATAGAATGAGGGGGAAGTCACCTGTATACTTCAGTGTGTTCCTCTCAGAAGAAAGGTTAAGCAGTAAGTACATTGTAGATCCTAACTAGGCTATCGCTACTTAGAAAAAGATATCTTGTTGGTGGAAGAGATTTAATATATAGGCAGGATTGAGGATGGGAGGAAGAAGGCTTTCTTTCTGGTGCTAGAGCCTTGATCTAGAAAGGGATAGTTATGGAAAATTAAACTCCTTTACTGGTATATATAAGCTTTGATCTAGGATACGAGTTCAAAAGAAAAAACTCCCTTACTGGTGCAAGGACTTTTATATGTCATGGAGGGTTGCAGAATAGAAAAAACTCCTTTGTAAGGACTTTTATATATATCATGGAGGGCTGCATAATAGGAAAAACTCCTTTGTAAGGACTTTTATCTAGCACAGAAAAAATCTCCCTTACTGGTGCAAGGGTTTTTATATATTAGGGTAGGGGGCTTCAGAGCAAAAAAGAAACCTTGCTGGTTTAAATTGTTGACCCAGCATTCAGATGAGAGAGGTGTTCAGGGATAAATAAAAGCTTCATCAATAGAATTATGTGGTACCAAATAAGTATTCTTTATTAATTTCATTTATTTTTGTAGAGTACAGTATACAGTTGACATTGGAGTAATTGACATGTATAAATTTAAGGGAATTAAGAAACCCTCTTGTTATTCATAGCATTTTAAAATTCACTTCTTATTACTAGACAATGAGACAATGCTAAAGTGTGTCATATATGATGTTTAAATGCTGTAAAAATTTGGTCTCCATGAGAAAGTGGAGAAGAATCCTTCCTCCGTAAGTTATGCGTGTCGTGAGAGGCGACTAAAATGCCGAGATCAAAGAGCTCGTAACCCCTTCTCCTGTATAAATTACTAAATGTAAAAAGAAGGAAAACTTTATGAAAGTTTCTTCTTTTTTGGGTCACCTGCCTTGGTGGGAGACTGCCGGTGTATTAAAAAAAATTGGTGTATGATTTATGATATTTTGAGATTACAGTGGTACCTTGAATTTCAGCCTTAATTCGTTCCAGAAGGCTGTTCGAGTGCCGTTACCGAACGAATTTGTTCCCATAAGGAATAATGTAAATTTGATTAGTCTGTTTCAGACCCCCAAAAATACACTTACATAACTGTTCGAGTTGGGAGCTGTTCAAAATTCGAGGTACCACTGTAATTCATGTGTTGAAACAATGGTGATAGTGTGATCATCAGTATGAATGCTGATGATGACACTATCACTATTCTACTGATACATCAGGTTTAAACATAAATTGTATATGAATGATGTGCAGTACCAACAAGATAAATAATTAGACACATGCAGTATCTGGGTATCTTTATTTGTAGATGTTTTGCCATTCAGTAACTATCACTACAATACAAGGACATAATGTGAAGACAATAGACCTAGTTCTACTGTCTTCACATTAAATTTGAACTTGATGCTTCACTAAGGGTAAATCCACGTCACCTGGGGAGGATGGTAGTTCTTACAACGTACTCATATTGCTCTGTCGAATACCAGGAAATCCTATACTTGAATTATACAACATGAGCTATGTAAGTGGAGAGTTCCCCATGCCCTTGTATTGATGAAGCCACTGGATGGCAAAATGTCTACAAATAGATACCCAGATGTTGCACGTGTCTAATTTTTCAACATCAATTGTCTAAGCAAGGTCTAAGTCAGATTTAGGTTTTTTGATATATAGTATTTTTGAAGCTGGTGACTGAAGGGAATCTTTCTTCATCTTATGGAAGAAAGTTCCAAATTTTAGGTCCTTTTATTGGCATGGAGTGTCTGTATAGATTGAGTCACAGTTGCGGTTTATCATATACTTAATTTTTTTTATTGTGTCTGTGTTGTGTTACAGCTCTGATTTTTATAATTTAAAAAAAAAGTCAAGAAACTACAGGCTACACAATATATAAAGTGCCTTTTTTAAAGTCCACATGATGGGCTTTTGGTGCACAAGATAAGTCTTTTATTTAATCTGTGTCAAAAGTAATTGTGATCAATGTAAATTTCAGTATTCCTTCAGTAATTAAAATATTTGTGATATTGTAAATTGAAAATAAATTTGTATATATTGCACCTCCAAAAAGCATGGCACAAAAATTTTACTGATGTATATATACGTATGTAATTTAACCAGTCACTTTAAATATGATCAGTAATTTGCATTTATTACTACTAAATATAATTTTGGAGAAATTCATGATGGTGATGGACTGCATTGAATGTCTCCACAGTTTTTCTTATTATTATTATTATTATTATTATTATTATTATTATTATTATTATTATTATTATATTATTATTATTATTTATTAATGCCTTATTCACCACTTTAAATTATTTTCATGGTAGTGAATATTTTAAGGGTTTGTTTTTGTTACTGACAATGTAACTGTGGTGTAACCTTATTTAGTTGTGTGACATTAGTTATGACATATTGTGTTCATGTTATGACGTTTGTTCGTGTTATGACGTGTTCGTGTTATGACGTGTTCATGTATAACATGTTGTCTTTATGTTATGATGTGTTTGTGTTATGTGTTCATGTTATGGTATGTTGTATTCATGTTATGACATGTGTTCATGTTATGACATGTTGTGTTCGTGTTATAATGTGTTCATGTTATAACATGTTGTGTTTGTTATGACATGTTGTGTTCAACTTGTATTAAGTACAAATTAACCTGTCTTGTGTTTAATGTAGCAACCAACTTAACTGTCATAGATCCTAACTCTTCTCTTTTATTATGTATTGTACGTGACCTTACATATTTAGGACTTTCTTGTATGTGACCTTATTTAGGACTTTATTGTATGTGACTTTATTTAGGGCTTTATTGTATGTGACCTTATTTAGGACTTTGTTGTATGTGACCTTATTTAGTGCTTTATTGTACATGACCTTATTTAGGACTTTATTGTACATGACCTTATTTAGGGCTTTTGTGTATGTGACCTTATTTAGGGCTTTATTGTACATGACCTTATTTAGGGCTAATGCAATGTAAATGATGAGTACACTTGACCTTAGGTGATTCCCGGAATTACTGAATTATGTAGTAATATTTTAATACCATGCAAATACACAAATCTTTTGAATATTATTGCCTCTGTTTAACCTAATTCAAGTTTGACTATTTAAACTAATTCAAGTTCGACTTTATTTAACCTAATTCAGGCTCGAATTCACTTTAACCTAATTCAAGTTCGACTTTAACCAACATTGTTTTAAATTGTTCCATTGTAATAATTCCATATTGGAAATCAATTCAAACTGAACCATTTTTTGTAATAATGTAATTTTTGTAAACTAATTTTAAAACTAATCATTCACTACTGAACTTCTCTACTAAACTTATTAAAGCCTGTTTGCATTACCTATAACAACTTAAATCTTTTATATTCACTGTAACCCATCAAAGGTCCATATAATGATCTGTTATTGCCTTACTAATCTTAAGTTAATATTAAGTTTGCTTGAAATGCTCTGCATATAAAGGGGCTTTTGACATGTATACCCAACTATTATATTCCTTTGTACAACTATATATCATGTCAAAATAAATTTATTATTCTTATTCTTAAATTCAATTTCAAATTCGACGTTAACCTAATTCAAGTTCAACTTTAAAATAATTCAAGTTCAATTTTAACCCAATTCAAGTTAAGATTTGACTGTATTTAAAAAATTACTCAACAAAAGAAACATACAATAATGGGAAGGCTTACAGGACGCTCAGTATTTCAGGCCAATTTTTTTTGTGTGTGGAATATTCATAAGTCATCTTCCATCAAAAAAGGCTGACCCTCTAAAACAAAAATGCATTTACCATCATTCGCTCAACAGCCGTATTGTCTGACCCCTCAAGGAAGGTTCCTTGATGCTGGTGAGGGGCTCTTGATCTAGGGAATTGGATCTGTTCTCCAGCTCCCTGAATTAAATCTGAATACCTTCTACATTCCCCTACAGGCGCTGTATAATCCCATGGGTTTAGTGCTTCCCCTTTGATTACAATAATAATGTACTGTCAGAGGAGTGCAGACATCCCAGCTCAAATGACACTCTGAACTGCAATATCCTGGCTCTTCCTTCAGTGCGCAGGACACCCCAGGATGCAACATCCTGGCTCCTCCAGATTGCAGACATTCCAGGCTGCAACATCCTGACCCCTCCTTCAGAGTGCAGGACACCCCAGGCTGCAACATCCTGGCCCTTCCAAATTGCAGACATTCTAGGCTGCAATGCTGTATAGCCCTTGTGGCTTAGCGCTTATTTTTTATTATAATAATAATCTAGGCTGCAACATACCTGCCCCTCCTTAAGAGTGTAGGCACTGTACCTACCACCAGGCTCTGATGTGAACCCAGTAAATACAAGACTCTTGTGAACCCAGTAAATGCCAGATTCTGATGTGAACCTAGTAACTACCAGACTAGTGTGAACCTAGTAACTACCAGACTAGTGTGAACCTAGTAACTACCAGACTAGTGTGAACCTAGTAACTACCAAACTAGTGTGAACCTAGTAACTACCAGACTAGTGTGAACCTAGTAACTACCTGACTGGCGGGAACCTAGTAACTACCAGACTCTGGTGTGAACCTAGTGACTACCAGGCACTAGTGTGAACCTAGTGATTACCAGGCTCTGGCATGACCCTAGTGATTACCAGGCTCTGGCATGACCCTAGTGATTACCAGGCTCTGGCATGAACCTAGTGACTACCAGGCTCTGGCATAAACCTAGTGACTACAAGGCTCTGGCATGAACCTAGTGACTACCAGGCTCTGGCGTGAACCTAGTGACTACCAGGCTCTGGCATGAACCTAGTGACTACCAGGCTCTGGCATGAACCTAGTGACTACCAGGCTCTGGCGTGAACCTAGTAACTACCAGGCTCTGGCGTGAACCTAGTGACTACCAGGCTTTGGCGTGAACCTAGTAACTACCAGGTTCTGGCGTGAACCTAGTGACTACCAGGCTCTGGCATGAACCTAGTGACTACCAGGCTCTGGCATGAACCTAGTAACTACCAGGCTCTGGCGTGAACCTAGTGACTATCAGGTTCTGGCATGAACCTAGTGACTACCAGGCTTTGGCATGAACCTAGTGACTACCAGGCTCTGGCATGAACCTAGTTACTACCAGGCTCTGGCTTGAACCTAGTGACTACCAGGCTCTGGCATGAACCTAGTGACTACCAGGCTTTGGCGTGAACCTAGTAACTACCAGGTTCTGGCATGAACCTAGTGACTACCAGGCTCTGGCATAAACCTAGTGACTACCAGGCTCTGGCATGAACCTAGTAACTACCAGGCTCTGGCGTGAACCTAGTGACTATCAGGCTCTGGCATGAACCTAGTGACTACCAGGTTTTGGCATGAACCTAGTGACTACCAGGCTCTGGCATGAACCTAGTGACTACCAGGCTCTGGCTTGAACTAGTGACTACCAGGCTCTGGCATGAACCTAGTGACCACACAGGCTTCTGGCATGAACCTAATGACTACCAGGCTCTGGCATGAACCTAGTGAACTACCAGGCTCTGGCATGAACCTAGTGACTACCAGGCTTTGGCGTGAACCTAGTGACTATCAGGTCTCTGGTACGAACCTAATGACTACCAGGCTCTGGCATGAACCTAGTGACTACCAGGCTCTGGCATGAACCTAGTGACTACCAGGCTCTGGCGTGAACCTAGTGACTACCAGGCTCTGGCATGAACCTAATGACTACCAGGCTCTGGCATGAACCTAGTGACTACCAGGCTCTGGTGTGAACCTAGTGACTACAGGCTCTGGCATGAACCTAATGACTACCAGGCTCTGGCATGAACCTAGTGACTACCAGGCTCTGGCATGAACCTAATGACTACCAGGGTCTGGCATGAACCTAATGACTACCAATCTCTGGCATGAACCTAGTGACTACCAGGCTCTGGCATGAACCTAGTGACTACCAGGCTCTGGCATGAACCTAGTGATTACCAGGTTCTGGCATGAACCTAGTGACTACCAGGCTCTGGCATGAACCTAGTGACTACCAGGCTCTGGCATGAACCTAGTGACTACCAGGCTCTGGCATGAACCTAATGACTACCAGGCTCTGGTATGAACCTAATGACTACCAGGCTCTGGCATGAACCTAGTGACTACCAGGCTCTGGCATGAACCTAATGATACCAGGCTCTGGCATGAACCTAGTGACTACCAGGCTCTGGCATGAACCTAATGACTACCAGGCTCTGGCATGAACCTAGTGACTACCAGGCTCTGGCATGAACCTAGTGACTACCAGGCTCTGGCATGAACCTAGTGACTACCAGGCTCTGGCATGAACCTAGTGACTACCAGGCTCTGGCATGAACCTAGTGACTACCAGGCTCTGGCATGAACCTAGTGACTACCAGGCTCTGGCGTGAACCTAGTGACTACCAGGCTCTGGCATGAACCTAATGACTACCAGGCTCTGGCATGAACCTAGTGACTACCAGGCTCTGGCATGAACCTAGTGACTACCAGGCTCTGGCATGAACCTAGTAACTACCAGGTTCTGGCGTGAACCTAGTGACTACCAGGCTCTGGCGTGAACCTAGTAACTACCAGGCTCTGGCATGAACCTAGTGACTACCAGGCTCTGGCATGAACCTAGTGACTACCAGGCTCTGGCATGAACCTAGTGATTACCAGGCTCTGGCATGAACCTAGTGACTACCAGGCTCTGGCATGAACCTAGTGACTACCAGGCTCTGGCATGAACCTAGTGACTACCAGGCTCTGGCATAAACCTAGTGACTACAAGGCTCTGGCATGAACCTAGTGACTACCAGGCTCTGGCATGAACCTAGTGACTACCAGGCTCTGGCATGAACCTAGTGACTACCAGGCTCTGGCATGAACCTAGTGACTACCAGGCTCTGGCGTGAACCTAGTAACTACCAGGCTCTGGCGTGAACCTAGTGACTTCCAGGCTTTGGCGTGAACCTAGTAACTACCAGGTTCTGGCGTGAACCTAGTGACTACCAGGCTCTGGCATGAACCTAGTGACTACCAGGCTCTGGCATGAACCTAGTAACTACCAGGCTCTGGCGTGAACCTAGTGACTATCAGGTTCTGGCATGAACCTAGTGACTACCAGGCTTTGGCATGAACCTAGTGACTACCAGGCTTGGCTGAACCTAGTTACTACCAGGCTCTGGCTTGAACCTAGTGACTACCAGGCTCTGACATGAACCTAGTGACTACCAGGCTTTGGCGTGAACCTAGTAACTACCAGGTTCTGGCGTGAACCTAGTGACTACCAGGCTCTGGCATAAACCTAGTGACTACCAGGCTCTGGCATGAACCTAGTAACTACCAGGCTCTGGCGTGAACCTAGTGACTATCAGGTCTGGCATGAACCTAGTGACTACCAGGTTTTGGCATGAACCTAGTGACTACCAGGCTCTGGCATGAACCTAGTGACTACCAGGCTCTGGCTTGAACCTAGTGACTACCAGGCTCTGGCATGAACCTAGTGACTACCAGGCTCTGGCATGAACCTAATGACTACCAGGCTCTGGCATGAACCTAGTGACTACCAGGCTCTGGCATGAACCTAGTGACTACCAGGCTCTGGCGTGAACCTAGTGACTATCAGGCTCTGGTATGAACCTAATGACTACCAGGCTCTGGCATGAACCTAGTGACTACCAGGCTCTGGCATGAACCTAGTGACTACCAGGCTCTGGCGTGAACCTAGTGACTACCAGGCTCTGGCATGAACCTAATGACTACCAGGCTCTGGCATGAACCTAGTGACTACCAGGCTCTGGTGTGAACCTAGTGACTACCAGGCTCTGGCATGAACCTAATGACTACCAGGCTCTGGCATGAACCTAGTGACTACCAGGCTCTGGCATGAACCTAATGACTACCAGGGTCTGGCATGAACCTAATGACTAAAAGGCTCTGGCATGAACCTAGTGACTACCAGGCTCTGGCATGAACCTAGTGACTACCAGGCTCTGGCATGAACCTAGTGATTACCAGGCTCTGGCATGAACCTAGTGACTACCAGGCTCTGGCATGAACCTAGTGACTACCAGGCTCTGGCATGAACC